GGGGCTTCTCAGAACCAAGACTTAAATAGAAAAGGGGCTGTTATGAACTCTGCAGGGTGGGGGGCAGGAAGAGGCCCCTTTCTGTGACCCTAATGCTGGTGCTAGAAAGAGACTTTGTCATATAGCATTGTGGTGCATGCATGCACCTATCATCCTAGTGGGGCATGCACTTGTCATTCTAGTGGGGCATGCATGCACCTGTGATCCTAGTGGGGAATTCACCTGTGATCCTAGTGGGGCATGCACCTGTGATCCTAGTTTTGCAAGGTGGAGACAGGATTGTGTCGAGTTCACCGGCCAGCCAGTCTATCAGTCAGTGAGCTCTGGGTTCAGTGACAGACCTTGGCTCAAAACATAAGGTGGAGTGCCATCAAGGAAGGCAGACGACACCAACTTCCTGACCTCTCACATGTACATACACGGGTGCTTACACATGCACACACACTCATAGACCACACACACACACACACACACACACACACACACACACATATCTGTACTTGTTATTTTTTCAAACAGATTTGCCCTCGGTTGTTGAGTCCGCTGACACCGACACAGAAGGCCAGTTGCATTTTTTGTCTGAAGACTCTAAGCTCACTCAGCCCCTTTCAGTTCTGATTGCTTTGGGCTAGGATCAAGTGTGGTGATTTCTTTTTTAAGATTTTAAATTAATTTAATTTATGTGGATGGATGTTTTGCTTCCATGTACGTCTGTGCACCACATGTAGGACCACATGTAGGACCACATGTAGGTGCTCACAGAAGAGGGTTCTGGACCTCCTGAAGTTATAGACAGTTGTGAGCCACCATGTGGGTGCTGGAAATAGAACCTTGGTCCCCTGGAAGGGCAGGCAGTGCTCTTAGCCTCTGAGCCATGTCTCCAGCCCCAAGTGTAGCGACTTTTAAGCTCTGAGCACTTTCTGGTTGCTCCCGTCTAGACAAGAGACAGGGAGCTATGAAAACGGCCCCCTCATCCCTTAGCCGCTTCCCTCCGAGACAGTTATCATTTTGATGCCAACTGCCCTAAAACGAAATCGTTTTGGCCGTCCAGGTTTCCTCCATAAATTGGAGCCACATCTGGTCTTCACAGAGAGCCAGGGATTCCAGGAACTCATAATTGAGGGTCCGGGTTCGAGCCACCAGCTGGCAGCATGTTCCCCTGGGAGAGAGTCATGGGCAAAAGTTGATCTCCACAGTGGTGATTCATTTGCCAGAGGAGAACCAGGAAAGGGGCTCTGTTTATGAGCCCAGAACGTATCTGTAAGCCTGTGCACCCCCTCTTTAGTACCTAAAATCTTCTTCCCACCCGATAGCCCTGCTCCTCCTCCAGCACTCGCTGGACCATCCAGGGGTCACACACATGGAGGGCAGCCAGGAGGGCTTTGTCATCTGCACGGTTCACAATGCCTTCTCTAGAATCCCGCAGGCCAAGCTGTGCTGCCACTGGGGAGGTCTCTAATGATTTTAGCATCAAAGCTCACTTGGTGGTAGAGCAGACCTCGTGCAGTTTATGGGTATCTCTCTGTGGGTGTGGGTGTGTTTGGCTGCGGAAACAGGCGGATATGGTTATGTGGTGCTCGGGGGAGGAGTGGTATCAATGTGTGGTACATATTTCCTTCCTTCTTTCTCAATTTTTGAGACAAGGTCTTATTTGACCCAGGCTGGCCTTGAACTCCTCATCCATCTGCCTCTACCTCCCAAGTATTGGGGTCACAGATCTATGCGTCCTTGACTGGCTACATATACCTCTATCCCAGAAGAGGGCACCAGATCTCATTGTAGGTGGTTATAAGCCACCATGTGGTTGTTGGGAATTGAACCCAGGGCCTCTGAATGAGCAACTAGTGCTCTTAACTGCTGAGCTATCACTTTATGTGAACTCTTTCCCCCTAAGTTTCCCAAGTGTTGGAGTACCAGGAGGAGGTTTTCTATCTTTGCTCCCCAGTTCTAAACAGGAGCAGCAGATTCTAATAGGCATGGGCAAAAGTGTGTCTCTCCGGCAAGTGCCACCACCCAGGAAGGGTCCAGCAATGGCTTTCTAAAGCTTTTGGTCATCGGGAGGGCAGGAGAATCACAGCTTCTGAGGCAGTGATGTTCCCATTTTGAGTTTTTTTTTTTAATTTATTTATTTTTGAGACAGTCTCACTATGTAGCCATGGCTGGCCTAGAACTCACTCTGTAGACCAGAATGGCCAAGATCCACCTCCCTCTTTCTCCCCAGTGTTCGGATTAAAGGCATGTACCACTGCATCTGGCCTTTTCCTGTTTTTAGAGGCTCCTGGTTATTGCAAAGGAAGAGGTCCCCAAACATGGCTATGTGCGTTGTGAAAACTGCGGTCTTTCGCAGCCAGGGACGACAGAATCCCTGTTCCTAACTGGATGGGCAGCGTCAAGAGCGCCCCCTGCTGGGTGTGACCGGCCCTACTCCAGACTGTGCTGCTAAGGGACGATCAGCGCTCTCTGCGCCACCTGGCGGCGATGTCGGGAAGCGCCTGTGAGTGCGGCCACCGAAGCCCCGCGTTCAAGCCTTGACTGCCAACTGCCCAGGCAGCAAAGGGTTAAGCTGTCAGCGGTGCGAAGTTAAACAGGTGTCAAAGGCGCCCCATATATCTGCAGATTGAAATCAAATTCTTTGCCGTATAAAAAGATAAATTACCCAGGCGCTGCCGCGCGTCCCACTCATCACGCCAGCGCCAGACGGCAAGCAATTTTTTTTTTTTAATGTGCTAACGACCTAATCAAGCAATCAAGTCGGAGAAGATTGCAGAGTGACCGGGGCAGCCATCTGCCGGCGAGCCCCGCATTCATTTCCGCGCCCCCGCACCGGGCGGGGGCCGGGGAGGGAGCTGTCGGAAGCTGGAGGAAGAGGGGGAAAAATCCTAAACAAATTAACACCCAATTTTCCCCGTCTAATTAGTTAAATGAGAAGTGTTTGGGGTCCCTCGGGGAAGGGGAGCAGCTCACGGTGAGGCGATCACTGCCTCCCCAGCATTAATTAGTGCGGGTCAATGCCGTAGCTCCCGGGAGAGAAGCCGCTTTAATTTCCCGTGATATTTCAGTGCCTGAGGCCCATCGATTCAAACTGAAATTAACTTATTTTTCAATCAGCCCAGGGCTGCCCCTGGGGGTGACTCTTCTTTTGCCGCCTCCTGAATAGAGCAGGAGCAATTTTTCATCAAAAGCTGATACCTTGGCCGCCCAGGGCGGGGGAGGGGCCCACAGGGAAGGGCGGGGGCGCCAGAGGCGAGTGGATGGAAAGCGCCCTGGAAACTGGTTGAGTTTCTTACCCTGCGGTCAAGATGGGACCGGAAGCGCTAGGGGGCCTCCAGGCCCACCGGTTTCCCAAAGAGTATCAAAGACAAGGGTAGGGAAACTCTGGGCTCTGTCAGGAAGGCTGCTTGGGGGAGACAAGACTTCCTAATCCCCTGAATAGGGCTGGATTCCTGGATCTCCTCCTGGAAGGAAGCTGCAGTGGAATCAGGGGATGTAGCTCAGTGATAGAGGGCTTGCCTAACATGGGCAAGCCCTGGGTTCCATCCCCAGCCCTGCAGATGGTGATGATGAAGCTGCAGCTGTAGACACCCCCAAGGGACCCCAGCGTTATTCAGCTCATACCAGTCAACTCTGGGCCAGATATTCAGTCTCTGGGATGTCGCCTACCAAGTCCTCTGCTAGGTCCCTATCTTCTCTGGCCTAAGGCACTAGAGAACATCATGTTCCTTTCCTGACCCAGGAATGCCACCCACCTTTCTAAAATTCCATTCGAAGCTAGGCCTGAAATGGTAGGCAGCAAAGTATGTGGGAGGTGATGGTGGCTCAGTTGGGAGAAGTTGGAAAACGTGGCAGATCAGTACCCAAGAAATCTACTACCTGCTGCCAGACCCCCAGACACCCGCATGGCGATGCCTCCAAGTGTACAAGTATACAAGTATAGCCACCCTTCTGGGCTCCAGACACACTCTCGTACTCTTCCCTGACTGTGGCCCATAACAGGGCCAGGGAATGTGCAAAAAAAAAAAAAAAGAAAAAAAAAATCTGCCAGAACTGTTATACAGAAAAACCTTATCTCAGAAAACAAACAAAAAAATCCTTATTTCATTTAATGCATATGTGTGTTTACCTCCATGTCCCTCCAAGCATTTCTTGTGTCCTGGTACCTTCACAGGCCAGAAGAGCGTGTCAGACCCCTGGAACTGGAGTTACAGGATGTTGTGAACTCATGGGTGCTGGGAATCAAACCTGGGTCCTCTGGGAGAGCAGCTGGTGTTCCTAACCACTGAGCCATCTCTCCAGTCCCTGGAATTTGTCATTTTGCAAACCAGAGGGTCTGTTACAGGCATGGCCTGTGGGTTGGGCAACTATGAAAGTGGCCCAACACAAATCTGTAAACTTAATTAAAACATGATAGGGTTTAGGTTTTTTGTGGGGCAGGGCGGGTTGAGACAGGGTTTCTCTGTGTGTGTAGCCTTGGCTGTCCTGGAACTCTGTAGACCAGTCTGACCTAGAACTCTCACAGATCTGCCTGCCTCTGCCTCCGGAGGGCTGGGATTAAAGGTGTGCATCACCACTGTCTGGCTGGCTTTTATATTTTTATTTAAATTTGATTGTGCGGTAGTTAAGCCAGAACTTCATAGATAATAACACCCTGTTACAACGCCAGGAGGCAGGACACACCCGTACACTGAAGTGTGAGCATCTGCAAGATCCCTTGCACGTGTGTGGGCATTCTACCTGCACACTGTGAGCCACAGCGGCTGCTGCCCGCCTGCAGAGCCTCGTTTGGAAACGTCCTTAGCCAGTCTTCCCAGACAGGCTTTGATTTAAAACAAATCCACGTTGCCGTTGCCCACGGTCTTCTCATGTTGATGCCATCCTCCCTGAGACTCCGTGGAATAACCCTCCCCTGCTCCCCCCCCCCCCCGCCGGGGGCAGAGCGGGGTGAAGGCCTCGGGCCTAGGGTTTCTCAGAGCCCAGCCCTGCCCGTTTCTCTGCACTGCCAGGTTTGGTTCCAGAACCGCAGAGCCAAGTGGAGGAAGAGAGAAAAGTGCTGGGGCAGGAGCAGCGTCATGGCTGAGTACGGGCTCTACGGGGCCATGGTCCGGCACTCCATCCCCCTGCCCGAGTCTATCCTCAAATCTGCCAAGGATGGCATCATGGACTCCTGTGCCCCGTGGCTACTGGGTAAGAGCCCGCACCCTCCCTGGGGCCCTGCCCCCGTGGCGAGGAGAGCGAGCGGACTCCGGGGAGAGGGAACCGAACACTGGGTAGGGAGGCCTGGCTCCCAGTGACCCAATGGGACAGAGGTCTTCCAAGCAGCCCACCCCATCTTTCTGGAGCCATCCTTTGTACCTACCTATTGGGTGTCAAGACTCCCATTCTGGAACCACTGGCTTCTTTCGTCCTGTGAGGAGGATGTGACCCTGGCCCTAGACTTTGTCCTCCTTCCTCTCTGACTAGAACTGAGCTTATAGTGAATGAAATATCTCCCTCTGTGGGTTAAGCGGACACCTGCATCCCTTTGGCCACCTCTCTAGTTATGCCCAACAACTTCTTTGCCCTAAACCTCCCCATCTTCCACCTATCAGCTGCCATCCAGGTATCAGCTTCTCTAGGGGTCTTAAGACCTGGACTCCTATGACATAAGACTGGGGGAGATGCCCTAAAGGAACAGGACGGGTTGGGGGCTGGTGCTCAAGCCCAAGGGTTTGGTGTAGAGAACTTTGTGAAGACCTGGCTCCCCACCAGCCACCCTCCCACCCCCTGACCCTGGTCCAGCTGTGGGACTTGACTGTGGTATGTGAAGAAAGGCTTTCTGCTCCTCCTTAATTCTGGCCTCTCTCTATCTTTGCTGTTTTCAGTTCAAGATGGCTTTCCCAGACGCTTTTCTAAACCCGAATACCAACAATTCTTTTTAGGGATGCACAAAAAGTCGCTGGAGGCAGCAGCCGAGTCGGGAAGGAAGCCTGAGGTGGAACGGCAGACCCTGCCCAAGCTCGACAAGATGGAGCAGGAGGACCGGGCCCCAGATGCCCAGGCAGCCATCTCCCAGGAGGAACTGAGGGAGAACAGCATTGCCGCCCTCAGAGCCAAAGCGCAGGAGCACAGCACCAAGGTTCTGGGGACTGTGTCAGGGCCGGACAGCCTGGCCAGGAACGCTGAGAAGCCAGCAGAGGAGGAAGCCATGGATGAAGACAGGCCAGCAGGGAAGCTCAGCCCACCACAGCTGGAGGACATGGCTTAGGCCAAGAAGAGCTGGCTCTGGAACCCCGAGACTCTCCTTCTCTCTGGGCCTGTGGTGCAGGGAATTCTCTGCAAGGCGAGGCCAGGCCTGGCTTCTATCTCTTCCCTACACCACAGGCCCTTGATTACCCCAGCAACTTTAGGCACAGGCCAGTTCTGGCCGTAGTTTTTTTTTGACTATGCTGAGACATCCCGGACCTACTCCTGACTTTCAAATTTCCTCTTTCTCATCCTAACAGTCTGCCTCTGGGGCCTTCTTGCCACCCCAACGTCAAGGCCCTACCACTCCATCCCTTGATGACTCTCGGTTGTCCAAGCCTACCCCTGACTCTCCACTGTCTAGCCTTCTTTTACAGCTTGTGGACTCCACCCACCCATCCCGAAAGCCTGCTGCTGTAAGCCCACAGTCTGGCACAGCTATGGCCTGGACCTGCACACTAGCGCTGGTGTCCTGAGCACCCCAGCACTCAGCAGGTCCCTCCCTCTCCATCGGTTCCTTCTAGCAGACCTGGACCTTGGGTCCTGCTGTGTGACTACATCGATCTGCACAACCTCTGCATCTTCCACCCTACCCACCAATGGCCAGAACCAAGACTAAACAGAGCAAGTCTCAGACTGGGTTTCCCCCGCCCCACCCTGTCCCATGCCATGCTGTGGACCACTCTCAGGCTCTTTCTCCTATCCAGCTTGCCCTAGGTTCCTCCTTTGCAGAGGTAGCAATACCGTAGGTATCAGTGTACAGGCCCTGCACCCTGAGGGAGGGGAAACTTCTCGCCAAGGCCGTGGCTCACTGAATTATGCCCCAGGGCCTGTGTTTCTGAAGCACCCTGGCTCTTCTGCCTAAGACTTTGACCTGCTATTTAAGGCTTCCTTCTGCTACAGCCCCTGAGAGCCCAGTGGTCTCACCCTTCCTAATGCTACAACCCTTTAAAACAGTTCCTCAGGTGGTGGTGACCCCCAACCATAAAATTGTTTCGTTGCTACTTCATAACTGTAATGTTGCTACTGTTATGAGCTGTAAATATCTGATAGGCAGGATATCTGTATGGGACCCCTGTGGGGGCTCGCGACCCACAGGTTGAGAACCTCTGTTGTAGGCTCTTGGCTCACACGTGCCTGCTTTGGAGAAACACGGCGCAGCTGGAAAGCCACAGACTTGGCTTTCCCTTGACCTAGGCATTCCTAAAAGGTCTAAAAACCTAAAGCGGGCCTGTGCTACACATGTGTCACGGGTGTGCGACAGGGAAGATACAGAGCAAAGCTCATAGGAAAACAAGGCAGGTGGCCAGTGAAAAACCTACACGAAGCTGCAAGCACTCATAGCTTCATGCCAGCTTATGCCCAGAAGCGTGTCCGTAGAGGAGGAGCCAGGCTGGATTGAGGGACTTCTGCCTGCAGAGGAGGGGAGCTCTCAACAGGGCACACAACCTTACGGAGTCCTCTGTCCCCGGATTCCCAGACCAACCACAAGACTCCCTTTACCCCGTGAAGTTAGACATCCCACCCAGCTTTGCAGGGGCTGCTTCACAAGAAAGGCCCGAGACAGTGAGTTGTGACTTTTAATCTGTTTTGACGGTTGGTTTCTTCTCATTCCGCTCATAGAATGCTCCCATTTGCAAGTTTTTGTCTCCTTCCAGGTTGAGATGCTAGACTTTCCCCTGGTATGTAAATAATGTACATAACATGAGCCGGAAGAGACTGGATATCGGGGTGCTTGACACACTGAACGGTCACAACTTTTAGGTATTCAAAGCAAAATTTCTGTGCTGTTTTCTGTAAAGACACAAGCAAGAATAAAATTCATGCAAAGACTGATGGAAATGGAACCAGGTGTCCTCTCTAGGTGAGGCCAGTAGCTTCCGTGTGTTGGCAGGTGGCATAAAAGGGAAATCCACAGAGATTTTTAGGCCCAAACTAGGTCTTCAACCAGGCATGGTGGCACACACCTTTAATCCCAGCACTTGGGAGGCAGAGGCAGGTGAATCTCTGTGAGTCCCAGGCCAGTCAGGCCTACAACATAGTGAAACAAATATTCCAGACTTCAAGGACCAATGGAATAACTGGCTGGCTCATCTCTAAAGGCCCAGTTCATACCACACCCGAGTGATACTAAATCACTGCAAGCCCAATTTCCTGAGTTATTACCTATAGCCCCTGCTCTCCCCACACAGAAGGGAGACGTTATTTTTTCCCTCTGATGCTTCTTTCTACCCAAGGCTGTTTCTCTGGAGATCCTTCAGTCCACAGCCTCTTCGCTTCATTAGTCCACACCTGTGTGTTTGTATGTCTCACCTTCAACCTTCACATAGCAAGTAGGAAAGGTACATGCATCCGGTGATGCTAAGCTCCTGCCAAAGAGGAGGGGGGCCCAGAGAGATGACCCAGCCATTGAAAATCCCTGCTGCTCAATTCAAAGGACCGGAGCGCAGATGTCAGCACCCATATAACCAGCCAGAGGCCTTGCAAAACACCTGAAACCCCAGCTCTGAGGGATTTGACACTCTCTTCTGGCCTCTGCACCCAAAGGTTTGAGCACCTCCCCCCGCCACAAACACACAGAAACACATATGCAGACACACACCACACAAACACACAGAGACACACATCACACAAACACACACAGAGATACACATCACACAAACACACACAGAGATACACACCACACAAACACACACAGAGATACACACCACACAAACACACACAGAGACACACACCACACAAACACACACAGATACACACCACACAAACACACAGAGACACACACCACACAAACACACACAGAGATACATACCACACAAACACACACAGAGACACACACCGCACAAACATAGACACAGACACACACACCCCCACACACACCACACAAACACCTACATACACACATACCACACAAACATACACACAGACACACATCACACAAACACATACACACACCACACAAACACACACACATAGACACACACAGACACACACCACACAAACACACATAAACACTTAGACACACCCATATACCACACAGACAGACAGACAGACAAACAGAGACAGACACACACACATCTTTAATAAAAGAGGACAGAAGTGAAGAAGAAACGGCGTCCAGAAGGTGCAGACACTGCCTGCGAACAGCTGTGCCCCGCGACATGACGATGCCTCGGTGGAATCGTGAGAAGAGAGAGAGCATGAACAGACTAGATAGGTGGTATTTGCGCTCGGGAAATCTCTTAAGATTGTTTCAAATTGGCTCAAGTCGTGAAACCCCCTGGCAGAAGAGATTGCTGGCAGCCCTTCAGGCTGAACGACAGGAGAGGGAAGTCTTCAGACGACCCCGATTAGACCCAAACGTGGTCCTCCTCATCCCGAGGCTGAGGGTGTGCATGGTAACCGGCAGTCTCCTGTGTGGTGAAGGGACGAAACTTGCCCTGCCTGTGTGGGCTCCCTGTGCAAAGGAGGCCTCGTCTGCATTCACATCCCTCAGTCTAGCAAGGTCTTCCCTCTTCCCTCCCACCCCCGCCCTCCAGGAAAGCATGCTGCCACTCCCCAGACCTGTCCCTTCAGTCAGGACTCACGACCTCCACTGTCACAGCACCTGCCGTTTTCCCTGTCACCGTGTAAGTTTTAATTTGCAACTCTATCTTCCTCACCAGATTGATTTCCTTAAGGGTAGAGTCTACATCTAATTTATCCTTTTATCCCAGGACCCATCAAAGGACCTGCTACTCAAGCATTGTTAGGTGAATGGATGGATGGATGGATGGATCTATAACTTACTCATCAATAACTTAACGAGACTTATTGAGCATCTAACGTGTGTGAGCTCCGATACATACCAGCATCACATGTGTCTCACTGGGCAAGGCACTGGGCGGCAGTGGCAGGCAGGGCAGTCCTGAGTACCTGTTCTCCTGGAGGTGACAGTCAGGGGAGAGATACTGAGTCCAGTGACCTCCTGAGCGAATGTAAAATAACAACGGCCTAAGGTCTCAGACGCATAAGGGGCCACAAAACCAAAAAAATACAGTGACGCGACCATCTGGGTGCCCCGGGTCAAGGCGCTTCACCTTTGAACTTCTTGCCTTTTATCATCTGTTCTCATAAATCTGAAAGGACACTGGGAAAAGCCCCCACAAAACCTTGGCACTGCTCCACCCCTAGGCAGATCTGGGGGACAGACAACTGAGACAATGAGATGATTGGGAGATGCTAGCAATCCTCTTGGACAATCACCCTGGACCTGGGAAGAGATAGGGGCCGGCTACCAACAATCAACAGGAGGCAGGGGACCGGCTACTTCTCTCCAGATCATCAGTGGCAGAGAAGCTGGGCCGGAAGGGCAGATGGCCAGGCACAATGGGGCAGAGCAAAGAGTACTGCTGCTCAGGTGCCCACCCGGTAACTCCATCCCTGGAAGGGCTCAGGCCCTGGGGCCACAGGCCCACTGGCTGGCCACAGAAAGCCACGTGCTTCAGGAAGCATGAGCAAGTGATAAAAAGGACAGGGGGGACTGATTGATGAGGGCTGTCCAAGACGCTGCACGGCCTAGGCAGGGATAGATGAGGAGGAGGCCAGCTGGGGGCAGGCAGAGTGGTGTGTTGGGCGGGGTGGAGTGGGAGCTCCTGAGGGCAGGGGCTGTGGTTTGGAGCAAACACTACCAGGAGAGAGTTGGTCTGTGTGACCACCAGAGTCTGGTTTCCAGTCCATGCTGGCCTCTCCAGCCTATGTCACCGGCACCCCCACCCCACTGTGGCCTTAGGGTCTTTCCCTTGCTCCATGAGAAGCACAGATCTGGGGTGCTGCACCTAGCCCATCGGTTATGACTAAGGAGGCACAAAAATGCCAGATGTGAATAATGGGAAACTGGAGGGGGGGTGCTGGGAACGCTGGACCCCAGTTCTCAATTCTTCTGGAGAGCCCAGTATGGAGAGCACCTGTAACACAGCCCTTCACAGGTGGCATCTCTGGGTTAGAACAAGCGTCAGACCTGCCCCTTGCCCTGTCTCTCTAATCTCTAGGTTACCAAGTTAGTCCCCTGGCATCCTCTGGTCAAAAGCCAGTGGCCTCTTGTCCTTGGGCTTCCCTGAGGTCCTCTCCCCCACCTCTGCCCCTCCCATGCTGTCCCTCATCCCAGATATCAGGCAGTCTGCTTAGTCACAGCTGAGCGGAAACCCACGGCGCCTCCCTCTATTAACTCCCCACTACGGATCAGCCCCTCAAGTGCTAATGGTTCTCCTGATTGGCAGCCTCACCCCCTCCCTACTCCTCTCCGATGTGTCTGAGACCCCTCCATTCACCTCTATGGCTTCGCTCCCAGTGTGGCTGAGCTAAGCTGTGTGGACCTCTGGGAGTCTCTGCTGCAGGAAAGGGGTCAGGCCCGGTAAGGTAGGTGGCCTTCTTGGTTTAAGCTGGAAAGATGCAAGCTGTCCGTTAGTACAACAGGTGGACATTATCCTCTGTGGTATTTTGAATGAGAATGACCCCCATAAGGCTCGCGTATTTGGATGCTTGGTCCCTAGTTGGTCAAACTGTTTTGGATTAGGGGGTGTGGCCTTGTTGGAGGAGATGTGTCACTGCGGGTGGGCTATGAGGTTTCCAAAGTTCGGGTCCAGTCTGTGTCTGTCACTAAGTGTGTGTGTGTGTGTGTCTGTCTGTCTGTCTCCTGCTTGTGGCTCAGATGTAAATGTGTAGCTACTGATCCAGCGCCATGTCTGCCTGCTGCCATGCTCCTTGTCCTGAAACTCACCCTCTGAAACTGTAGGCAAGCCTCCAATTAAATGCTTTCCTTTAGAAGTTGCTTTGGTTATGGTGTCTCTTCGCAGAAACAGAAAGGTCACTCAGACACTCTCCTATTCTTGCTCCTATTCTTGCTTGGGGCCTTTTGACCTGGGAGGGGGTGGTTGAGCAAGGTAATCATGGTGGCCTCCAAGGTGAAAGGGAAGCTTACCTTCAGTTCTGGTAGGTGAAGCAGAGCAGGTTTGTATGTGGTACCGGGGATCAAATTCAGGGCTGGAACCTGATCAGAGACAGAAGTGGCTGGTGAGATGGCTCAGTGGTTAAGAGCACTGACTGCTCCTCCAGAGGACCCAGGTTCAATTCCCAGCACCCACATGGCAGCTCACAGCTGTCTGTAACTCCAGTGTGCATGAAATAAAGTTAAATAAAGTTTAAAAAAAAAAAAAAGAAGTGGTACATGAAAAGCGGCTCAGTGGCCTGGAGAGGCAGCTCAGTGGTTGAGAGCACTTGATGTTCCTCCAGAGGACCCGAGTTCAAGTCCTAGTACACATCGGGTTCGGGCAGTCCCTAACCATCTGTAAAGTCCAGCTCCATCTGGAATCCTCTTCCGGCTTCCAACAGCATCACACACACACACAACCTTTAAAACAAAATGGCTCAGCTAATTATAAGGACACAGGAATCAGATGAACAAACAAGAAATTGCTAGGACTGGTGCTGAACTGACCACTAATAGACACAGAGTGTGCTCAGCTCAGTCTCCAAAAGGTCTCTTCCCATTTCCCATGTCTTTGTACCTCATAATGTGCTAAGTATGGCTCAGTAGTAAGTCTGCCCATGGTTTCCATATGTGCAAAAGGAGCAAGTATCTGGGAAGTGGGGCGGGGAGGGGCAGAATAGTGTGAAGGACAAGGCAGGGAACAGACTTTGGAACCAGGCACAGAGCCCTCCCTCATCTGGGGATTTCTATGCCCATGCCCGGGGTAACAGTTCCCATGAGAACAGTGTTGACCGGAGGTGAGAAGAATGTCAGGCTGGATCCAATAGATTGAGCTTAATAACTGCAAACTCTTCCCGCCAATGTCTCGGAGGATGGCAGACTCATCTACCATGACACCACTTCACAGGGCTCTGGCCACGGTCTGAGGGCATGGTGAGAAATGATCTGACAAACAGTTTGCCCTGGAGTGTATTCAGAGTTCTGCTGATTGAATTTTTTTTTTTTTTTCAAGATAGGGTTTCTCTATAGCTTTGGTGCCTGTCCTGGAACTAGCTCTTGTAGACCAGGCTGGCCTCGAACTCACAGAGATCTGCCTGCCTCTGCCTCCCGACGGCTGGGATTAAAGGTGTGTGCCCCCACTGCCTGGCTTTGATTGCGGCTTTGATTGAATTCTTTAGCTATCATTTTAGTTTTGTGGTCTGGAGACCAGATCTCATATGACCCAAGTTGGCTTCAAACTAGTTCTGTGGTGAGACGCCAGATGCTCCAGCCCCATTCTCCTGAGTGCTGGCATTACAGGCACAGCCTCCACTGCCAGTTTGGTTTTCGTTTGCTTCCTTCCGGTAGCTGCGCTACAGCCCGCAGAATGGCCACGCCACCCCACCACTTCCCAGACGACAGGCTGAGGCTCCTGGGACTTTTTCCTTCAGTCTCTCTTCTTATTCTTGCTTTTCTGGCTCTTTTCTGAGATACCAGCAGAGGAAGAGAGAAGTGGATGGAAGACTTGTTGACAGGGTAAAACTGACAGAACCTAGGCGTGGGCTGGACCAGGGGATGAATGGGTGTCATAAGGATGGGCTGCTCTGGGAGCTGGAGAGATGGCTCAGAGGTTAAGAGTATTGATTGTTCTTCCTTAGGTCCTGAGTTCAATTCCCAGCAACTGCATGATGGCTCACAACCATCTATACTAAGCCTGGTGCCCCTTTCTGTCATCCAGGCAGAACACTGTGAACAAAGTAAAAAAAAAAAAAAAAAGAAAAAGAAAAAAGAAAGAAAAAATGGGCTGTTCTGTTGGATGTGGCACATGCCTTTAATCCCAGTACTTGGGAAGCAGAGGTAAGTGGACTTTCTGAGTTTGAGACCAGCCTGGCCTACAGAGTGAGTTCCAGGATAGCCAGGGTTACACACAGAAACTCTGTATCGAAAAATGAAAACAAAATAAAACAAAAGAATGGATTGTCCTGGGGCTGAAAATACACTCAGAGATGAAGAGCGCTTGTTCCCAGTGTGCACGCATGCATGCAAGCAGGAGCACGCAAGCGCGTGTGCGCACATGCATACACACACACAGGCTCACAACTATCACCAACTTCAGTTCAAGGGGATCCAATCCCCCCTTCTGACCTCCACAGTCACCAGACACACATGTGGTACAGACTTAGACACAGGGACAACACTCAATCACATAAAAATAAAATGAATTTATCTTTTCAAAAATTAAAAAAAAAATGACTTGTCCTGGGCCGGTTGTGGAAGTACACATCTTTAATCTTCACAACAGGAGGAAAAAGCAGGCAGATTGAGTTCTAGGTCAGTCAGAACTACATAGTGAAACCCTCGAAAAGGGGGGTAGGAGTAGGCGGGGCCTTTTCCAACTCAGGCAGCTGATGGAACAGTGGCATTGCTCATCTTCACAGGGGAAAGGCCATCAACTTGCTTTGGCGTGTGAGTTTATTTTCTGTTGCTCTGAGGCAGTGGTTCACAGCCTGTGGGTCCCAACCCCTTCGAGGGTCAAAGGCCCTTTCACAGGAGGCAAGGGCCCTTTCATAAGGGTCACCTAAGACCACTAGAAAACACAGATATTTGCATTATGATTCATAACAGTAGCAAAATTAGTTTTTAAGTAGCAACAAAAATAATTTCATGGTTGGGGTCCCCACCATGAGAGATTGAATTAAAGGGTCGCAGCAGAGATGGATAAACACTGCTCCAAGAGGATACCACAGGAAACAGAACTTGATTTTTATAAAATATATTATAATAAAATATAAATTATAAAAGAGAAGTTTATGCCGGGACTGGAAAGCTGGGCAAGCTAAGACTGAAGAGGTGCATCTGAGAGGGGCTTCTCCTTGGGGCACAGGACGTAAGGCAACAAGGAACAAGGCAGTGGGCAGAAAATGAGAGAGGAGAGAGACATATACTTACAATAGAACACAAAAATCTGGCAACAAAAAAAAAAAAGGACTTTGGGTTCAATGACTTTATTTTATGCTTTTGAGGTTTGCCAATTTAACTTGTAGGGGGTCTTATTATTTAGCCCAGACAAGTCTCAAACTCATAATCCTCCTGCCTCTGCCACCATCCTTTTGGGATTACAGGTATGTACCACCACATTTGGCCTAATTTTTTTTCTTGTTCTGTAATACAAATTTCTTTTTTGGTGGGGGTAGGAGAAACAAAACAAGACAAAACCCATCAACCTTATTTTAGCTGATAAGGAAAAAGGGATTATTTTCTTCTGAGTTGGATAATACAGACAGCTGGGGATGTAGCTCCACGGTAAAGCACTTGCCTAGGAGTCATAAGGCTGGACGTTCAATTCCCAGTAATGAAACAAACAAACAAAAGATAATGAAGACAGAGGGTCCCCGGGGTCAGTGGTCCAGGCACGGGCCACACTGTGCCCTCTCCATGCCCGGCAGGTAGGAGAGTATACCTCCACACCGTAAGGACAAGTCTGGAGACTCAATCAAAGAGACCACTCTATAGTAGAGAAAAGACACATTTTTAATGTTTATTCTTTTTTTTAAAAAAAAAAAAACTTACAAAATTTAAGTGGTTAATTAAAGTTTAAAAAAATCTATCACTGATATCTAATCAGCTTACTTGAGTCCCACAGCTGTCTCATTCTGACCTTTCACTTTTTAGCGCATTTGATTTATCTTCAGCAACCGTCATCTGAAGTCATTCGTAAAAACCCACAGGAACAGCGCTGGGGAGACCTCAGTGCTCCCTGCAGGGCCACGCCTGGCAGGGCCTGCGGCTGCTAGGGTTCCTACACAGAACCTGACGTGAATCAGAGGCCCCTTGCCTCACCAGTCTCCGCTGTCTGCCCTGGGCACCGCAGGCCTCCCCAGGGCTTGGCTGTCCCGGTGCATCCATGTTTGGCTTCATTCCATTTTGATTCTGGTCAGTTCCCACCGTCCTTCTCCACAGAGTTTCAGAACCCAGGAGTGAAACTGCGAGAGACCATTGCCCCACGGAGGTCAGACGGCTGCCGGAGCAGTCACCCAACCCCTCTGCCACCCAGCGCCTCGTTTGAGGGGCCTTTGGCCTGGCCAGGCCCAACCCCTGTGTTCTTCTTCTTCAAACCATCCCTGTGATGTGGGTACCTTCTCAAGGCTGGGCCGATGTCCCACGCTGACAAATGTCATCCCCAGTTGCTGGCCAATGCGATAGAGCTCACTCTCCGCCTCCTCTGTCAGGGCACTGGTGGCTTCATCAAGCACTGACGGCACACGTGGTGGCAAAGGATCACAGACCTGCCCTTGCCCTTTCTGTCATTCCTCCAACCCGTATTCACCCTGGGGCGTGGAGGTATAGGAACCCTGCCTCAAGAAGACAACTGTCCAAGAGAGCCACACCAGGATAGAGAACATACCTGTGGGCACTGCCCAGGTCTCTCGGCTGCCTACAGATAAATAGCACTGTGCCCCAGGACTGTACAATCCAGGACGTCCATACCCGCCACACATATATGCCCCTGCCAGACACAGCTTGGGGGATGACCACTCATCTAGGGCAGAACCCAAAGAGCTATAATCACAACCCCTCTAACTGAGGCCACCACGGCAGGAAGTTTCATAATGGCTATTTACATTCTCAGGACCATGCCAAAGGGCCAAGGTCATCACAGATAGGGGACACAGGGATGCCTCGTCACGGACAGGTACACACAGGAGGATGTGACCACACGCTGTGAGCATCTGCAAGTACACACAGCCTGGCGCCTGCACCCACAGTGTGCACCTCACCTGCGTACTTTGGCTGCAGGTAGAAGAGCCGAGCGAAGGACAGTCTCTGCATCTCCCCTGGTGACAGGACATCATACCTAGGAAGAGTAACGAGAAGGGAGCCCTTAAAGGAGGTGGCGACTTGACTTTTGCCAAGAACAGGTCTTGAAAGATGCAAGCTCACTGCAGATGTTGGTTGCAGGACAGACCGTCCCGCTTAGCCACCTGACAGGTGAGGCCCAAACTGCACCCTAGATACAGATTCTGAATGGGTGGACCAGCCCAACATCTGACTGTTGGTGACAGAGTCATTCTGTTCCTCTGCAGGGCTGCTGGGACCCACTGTCTTCATGGAGGAGCTGCCTGAAATAGTTCATCCTTACCAGTTCCAATCCACCTGCTGGTCCAGACCGCCGGTCCTTGCCACCAAGCTGGACTGTAACAGAGGACATAAAGTTAGGGTCCACGCCTGTTTTCTGCAGTCCCAGATCCCCACCTCAAACACTGACACAGCAGCGCTTTACCAAGGTGGGCGTTGTCACCTGTACTCCAGGCTGGCTGGAGGACGGTGGCAGATGAAGCAGACACAATCCATCAGCTCTGTTATTGTTTCTTTTAAGATTTATTTATTTATTATGTATACAGTGTTCTGTCTGCATGTGTGCTTGTACACCAGAAGAGGGTACCAGATCTCATTACAGATGGTGGTGAGCCACCATGTGGTTGCTGGGAATTGAACTCAGGTCCTCTGGAAGAGCAGCCAGTGCTCTTAACCTCTGAGCCATCTCTCCAGCCCTTTGTTATTGTTTTAAAATTTTCCACAGAGGTGAGATAGCTCAGTGGGTTGAATGCTTGCCATACCAGCCTGTTTGGCAACCTGAGCCTTATCCCTAGAACCCAACATTCACAAAAACACCCCCAAAATGGAAACAATATCTCTACAGGGAGCAAGAACACAGCACCTTACTGCCTGTACCCTGTCTGTCGTTTCTACTGCCAACTTGTACTCCCAATGTTTGCCATAGTCTCGGGTCCAGAAATGGCAACAGCTCTGCTGGCCAGCAGCTACCTGTGGCCAGTGCTCTCAGGTGAGCCTGAGTCCCCAGGGCCCGTCCCACTCACCAGGCCTGCCAACTCCAAGAACCTCATAATCCTCTCATCATCAGCAGAACCTGCAAAACAGAGGCTTCCTCAGTACAGTGGGGCCTCAGGCGGGCAGGATGGAGGGCATGCATCCCGGCAGGGGCAGATGCCCCAGGACAAACCTCAGAGCAGAACGGCCTGTGAAAGGAGACACCTTCTCCAGGGGTGTCTCTCCTTGGGAAAGGAAGACAGGACAAGAAGAGGACCCCAAAATAGTGAGCAGATACAGATACAACGAACAGCCTGGCTAGGCAGTCTTCCAGGGGTGGCGGGGGCGCTACCCAGGCAGAGCAGGGACAACTGGGGTGAGAAGACAGGAGTTGAGGAGGGACAGCTCACCTGAGTCAGGGTAGATCTCCTTCAGGGGATAGATCACCTGGAAACAAGAACAGCTCTGGCTAGGACAGGCGATAAGAGCCAGCTGCACTCAGTCCCACCCCTTAGCGTCCATAGAAACCACCCACAGAAGCCAGACTCCTCCCCACCTAAGCAGAGGGGTGACACCAGCCTGAGGGCCCAGTAGGAGAGACACAGGTGTAACCAGTGGGGCAACTGCAGCCTTCAGAAGTGTGTCTGTGAGGCAAGAGTCTTGGAACTTTCTGAGTGCAAACGCTAATGCCCAACAAACAAACGGGGTAACTGGCTAGACACCCTAGGAAGTGCCTCTGGGTTGAACCCATAAATACTGCATAGTATGTTCTCAGAGACTGGGAACTGGCCCTAACCTCCTAGGGCCTGAGGGCTGTCACACTGTTAGAAGTCCTGAATGTAATTGGACGGAATGAGGTTGGAGGGATGGACCCCTGACCCTGCTGACCTGCTCCCGAAGTGTCCCATCAGTGAAGAACGGCTTCTGTGGCAGGAACAGCACCCCGTGGGGCCCAAAGTCAGTCAGCATCTGCACTGAGCCTGCAGAGCCCGCAGGAGCCGACATTGGGAGACCTCGCAGAGCAGGTACCTGCCTTTCCTCTCATCCCGCCCGCCTCCCACCACGTTGCCCACCAGGGCCTAGGCTGCACTGGGGGCAGGGAGGACTGGCTCACCCTTCACACTCTCCCACAGGCCGCCCAGCACCCGCAGCAGGGAGGTCTTGCCAGTGCCAGTGTTGCCTGTGATGAGCAGACTCTGCCCCTCACAGATTTTCAAGCTCAGGTCCTTGATGAGGGGCTTGTCAGAGGAGGGGGCAAGGATGGAAACCCGGTCAAGCAGAAAAGCCGTGTCTGATGGTTCTGTGACTGGCCACCCTGGGGCCCTAGGACAGAGAAGGGAGACGGAAAGACAGGCCGTGAGAGAAGTACAAGGTAAGGGCTTGGCTTAGAAGCATCACCTTTGTCCCATCAAACTCAGACACTGCTACACCTGGCTTCTGTGGTCACTAAAGACTTGAACCTAAATCCTCAAGCACTTTACCCACTGAGCCATTTCCCCAACCCTTCTTTTTTTTATTCATTTATTTTAGATATTTTTATTGACACATTCATAAAATATAATATTTATTTTATTTAACAAGGGTCTCACTATGCAGTTCAGGGTGGTCTTAAACAATCCTTCTGCCTCAGCCTCCTCGGTACTGGGATTAAAAGTGTAAGCCACCGTGCCTGGCTTTTTGTTTTGTTATGGTGCCAGGCAGAAGATGTGCCCATTTGCTAGAGAATGATATAAATCTATACAATGGGTACCAGGACGAAGGTGTCAGCCAACTGTGCACACTTATAATGCACTTGATACAACGTGAAGACTGCTTTCACCCACTCCTTATCTCCGCTGCCTGACTCAGAGGAGGCTCCAAGGTCACACCAGCTGGGTGAGCACTGTGTTTCTCCACCCACTCCCTATCTCCGCTGCCTGACTGGGAGGGGCTTCAAGTTCACACCAGCTGGTGATAATCGTGTTTCCCACCGGCACTACAGCTGGGTACTCACTTGCTCAAATCCCACTCACTCTCGCCCAGGCTCTCACAGTCTTGGGATTTTCGGGACATGTCCAGCAGGGCCTCCTGAAGCTCTCCAATCCTGGGCAAGAAGGGAGAACTAAGGCGGAATCTCGCCAGGTGAAGAGGAAACGCCTTCCTGTCTCCCGCCCACTAACACACAGTGGGATTCTGTCTCTCCCCACTCAGCGTTTTCTAGTGGCACACACTCTGCTCACCTGTGCGTGTACCCGGCGACGTCTGAGAACGTGGTGGACAGGTCAATGAGCTGGGTGAAGCAGTTGATGAGGTAGATACACACAAAGGCATTCTGGTCAGGACAGGGAGCAGTGAGTGCCGGCCCCGAGCACTGGGCCACAGGGTAAGGCTTACCAGAAGCGACCTCACCTTGCTGACCAGGGTGCTGAGCTCTGTGGGGCTCAGGTCTCCATAGATCCCACTGAAAATGGGGATCGCGATGACAACGTAGCTCAGAATGCTGCCCAGATAATCAAAGGTGTTGATACCAACTGTAGGAAAGAGATTTCGTGAGACCCAGGAGACACCCATGTGTTCTGCCGGGGAACCCTTAGGATGTGGAGCAGGAAGCCAAGCAAGGTCGCACTTCCTCAGATGTCATTCCCCTAGGATACCCACAGCAAAGGCAATGCCCCCCCCCCCCCCCGCCCTGTTAATCCTTTCAGTAAATGGATCCCTAACCAGGGCAGGCAGACAGTAGGGTTGTGTGCGGATGTAGTGTTAGTTGGACCACCCCCAGCCTGTGGTCCCACCTCCCAGGGCCCCTCGGCCTACTGTAGAGCCAGAGCTCCCTGGACATCAGCTCTCTCTGGGTTTGAAGGAGTCTCTGCAGCCTGCGGTCCGTTCTCATGTGTTCTACAAGCCCAGCTCTGATGGAAAAGAATGAGATGTCTCGGACCTGCAGGGGCTCAGCAAGGCTGGGGCACCTTCACCCCCCACCACAGCCTCCTTCAGAGACCAAGCCCATGCTTCATCCTAGCCTCAGACACTCTCTTCCGTGAACATCCACAGCTTGAGCCCCATGACTCAGTCTGTGATCATGAACTCTGAAGTTGGCCAGATCTGGTTCAGATCCAAAACTCTGGCTGGTTTCCAATTATGTGAGCTTCTAACACCTTTTCTTACTTTACAATTGAACCAGTGACAGTTACATAGTACATTAGATGGCGATTTAAGAGTTCTATGGGGGAGGGGGGGCTGGAGAGATGGCTCAGCAGTTAAGAGCACTGAGTGCTCTTCCAGAGGTCCTGAGTTCAATTCCCAGCAATGTGAGCACATGGTGGCTCACAGCCATCTACAATGAGATCTGGCGCCCTCTTCTGGCCTGCAGGCATACATGCAAATAGAACACTATACATAATAATAAATACTTAAAAAAAAAAGTTCTATGGGGGGGGGCGCTGAAAAGAAGGCTCAGCGCTTGTTGCTCTTATTGAGGACCTGGGTTCAACTCCAAGCAAGTACATGGCAGCTCACAGTTCTTGTTACTCTGGTTCCAGGAGATCTGACTGCCTCCTCTGACCTCAGCGGGTACAGGCACACGCACGGTACAGATAAACATGCAAGCAAAGCACTCATACACATAAAATAAGTAAATCTTAAAAACTTTAACTCAGCGTAGTGGTGCACACCTATAACCCCAGCACTTATCTCTGTGAGCTTGAGACCAGCCTGTTTACAGAGAGAGTTCCAGCACAGCCAGGGCTACACAGCGAGGCACTAGGGGGCTGGAGGCCTGGGTAAGAGCACTCTTGTTCTTTCTTCCAGAGGGTGCTGTTCCAGTCCCAGCAGCCACAGCAGGCAGTTCACAACTGCCTGTAACTCCAGAATCAGTGGAAACATTGCCCACTTCTGGCCCCTAATGACACCAGCACACACCCTACACACACACACACACACACACACACACGAATAAAATAAATAAAAATTAAAAAATAAATAAAAATTAAAGTCAGGCTGGGTGGTGACAGTGCCCGCCTTTAATCCCAGCACGTGGGAGGCAAAGGTAGGCAGATTTCTGAGTTAGAGGACAGCTCTGATCTAAAGAGTGAGTTCCAGGACAGCCAGGGCTGCATTGAGAAATCTTGTCTCAAAAAAGAAAAAAGAAAAGAAAAGAAAAGAAAGAAAGAAACTCACAGTAGACGGCAGGTGGCCTTGCCTCTAAGAATGCGGAGTGTCAGATGTGTCCTCAGCACTATGGCAACAAACAGATATGTCCACTAAGGGAGTCTTGGACAGCTCCCCAGGGGAGGTAACTTAAAAGGCTTCAAGCGTTGGCAGAAATTCTCCACAAGAAAAACTGGAGAGAAGAAGGGGGTGTTTTAAGTTTGCAGAGTCGGCGGGAGAAGCAGTCTGCCGCTGTAAGAGCTAACCCATTGGGATCTCACAGCAGAAGCTACAGAATCCAGAACACGGGCACCACTGGACTCATCCCACCTCCAGAATCCAGCTCTGGTCCTTTATTTATTTTTTTCTTTTAGACAGAGTCTCACTATGTAGCCCTGGCTGGCCTTCAACTCACGGAGATCTGCCTGCTTCTGCCTCCTGAGTCTGGGATTAAAGGTGTGCGCCACCATGCCCTCCTGGCTCATCTCAGATTCTGTGTTCCTGGTGTCCCCATGTGGAAGTGACTGACTGCTAACTGCAGTAGAGAGACTGAGCACAGAGGATCTATTAAATTTACCCCATGAGCAGGGAAGCCAGGGAATAATTCTGCTTCTTAAATACAGCCTATGCTACCAACCAAGATACCAGGACCTGCCCTGGTCCAGGAAGGAAGCAACTCCACAACACCCAGCAAGACATCAGGCCCTTGGCTCCAGGAAGTGTAGATGTGACTTTCTATGAGGAGCCTACCCCCACCCCGATGCTGCAGAGACAGAGAAGCCATTCCACAGACATCAAAACACAAAAGCAAGGCTTCAATCAGGATGAAGCCACCCACTCATTTTTTTCCCTTGGTCATCTTAGAACCCATATTAGGCCATTAATACTAATTAACGAAGCCACCAGCTTCACAAGCAGTCCCTGTACCCGAGGACAGTGAGAAGGCTGGGGAGAGGGTCACAGTTAAGTGTGACAAGCTCTGGCAGTGCCAGGAAGGTTGCGGTCTTTATCTTTCTCTTCCTAATACGAACGTGGGAAGAAGGGGAACTTCCTCTGCTAGACTCACCTGTAGAAAGCGGCGGGCTCGGCATTCACTCGAATCTGCATGTGCTTGAACCTAGGTAGATAGAAGGGAAAGGTGCTGATGCTGGGCGCCCTGGATGGAGAGGAAGTCCACACCCAGACAGCATAGGGTCCAGCTCTCTGTGGACTGTGGCTGCCTTTCCCTGGGCTGTCACAAGGGTGAAAGCCCCAGGGCTTGGGTGGGGCAGCAGGGACTGTGCAAACAGTGCTGACTTCAGGTTGCTGGAACGGGATGGGTGTGTTCTCGCCTACGGGACCTCCTCCCCTATGCCTAGCTTAACCAAGGCAAGAAGTGCATGGCAGTAGCAGGATGTAGAACAGTTGCTGGTCCAACAGACTGGGCGGCTGGACCATGAGCTTGTGAAAAGGCCCCCAGAGGATGCTGATGCTGGTCAACCTACACCTTTCTCACTGCGTCACATGCACGATGTCCCTAATTCTCACAGTTCTCTCAATAGACAAGCACATCATTCACTTCAGAGATGACCGAATGGAAATCTCAAGATGCACATGACACCCATTTCCTCCAGGACATTACACATGGCTAGTAGCTGGCACAGCAGCTACCTTGTCCCTTAATCTTACCCAGGAAGACACACCTGAAATCCCCCTCCAGCTTTTCCTGCTGCACCAGCTTTGTCACAATGGGCCCCATCAAAGTCTTGTTCACCATGGTTCCCAGGATGAAATATCCAAAAATGCACACAGGCCCAAGCCAGCCTGTGCTGGAAGACAGAAACGGAGGGTGAGAGGTGGTTGTGCGATGCCACACACATAGCCTGGTGAACCTCCTTCCTGCCTCATCCCTCTCAGGTAGCCCCTGTTGGAGCTCTACCTCATGTGACATCTGACACCTGGCTAAAGCTAAAGAGCCAGGGGTGAAATATCCCAAGACCAAGGAGGGGGCGGGGTCATGAGCACGTGAGCTGGGAAGCCTCGCTGAGGTGCGGGTGGGAAAGATGAGCCTCTCTTGGACCCTGCCCTGCCCTGGGTGTGGGAGGCTCAGGCTGGGGAGGCGGGCCCCTGGAGAGAGAGGCTGCACCTTTGGAAGCACTGGTACGTGTAGTAGGCCAGGGTGAAGGGGGAGATGATTAGCCGGCTGGTCATACTGCTGAGCTGCCTGCAGAACCGTTCCACGTCCTGGCTGATGCGCTGGTCCCTACAGCCGACAACACAGAAGAGGAGCTGAGTCCAGCGAGCAGAGCTGGGGACCTCCACTTCCAACCCCGACTGACTCAGACACACAGTCCTTAGGCCCTCACCAGAATTCTAGATTGCTGTCTTGATTTACCGAGGAGAAAAACAAAACCAAACCATCAGAAGACCCATGAAAATCTGAGGATAGAGCTGTCTTTCTGCATGGTAGAGAACGCGCTCTCTCGTTAATCTCAATCCTCCCTTCTCTCTACAGACCTGGAGTGACTCCAGGTCAGGGCTGATTGTGACAGCTTTACCAGGGCTGAGTCACCATGAAGAGTCCATCTTCTCAGGACCTTCCCTGGGAAGCTCAGCCTGAGCTGAGGATGGGTCACCCCAGGCGGGCAGCATGGGCTATGGCTGGTAAGTAGGAGAGGCCTACGTGTGAAGGGGCCATCTCACCACCAGGGCCACACTGACCCCTATTCCCACGAGCGCTTGGGCAGGACAGGCCGCCTGCAATCCCTCACCTCTAAAATTTCAGTTTATGCTGCCACACTTGCTGTCGGGTATGACACTGGCCCTGCCAGGGACGGTGGCAGTTCACCTCACCACATCCTTTGAGACGGGACTATCCTGATCATCATTGTACAGGAAGACGAAGATTGAACATAAGCGCTAGAGGCAGGGCGGTGACAGAATAGGGATCTAAAACCCAGGCAGTAATAGCAATTGCCTTTTCCTTCTGCTCTCCTGCCCCGCTGCACATTCAAGAACGTGTTCCCTGGCAAGGAGGCTTCCTTCATTGACTTCATTTCAACTCAAATATGTGAAACAGGCTAAAAAGAACTGCTCCTAATTGCTTCCTTTTAGCTCCCTATTCTCAGCCCCACCACCTCTCTGCAGAACCTCCTCCCCACACAGCTCTGGGCAGCAACACTGGCCTCCTGCAGACGAGCGTGGCCAGGAGTCTGCAGGACTAAGCTGGCCGCACAGAGCCATCAGGGGGCAGCAAGGATGGAGAGGGATGCCTACGGATTATCGATGTCATCCCGCAGCACGTTGAGGGTGTAGTACACTCGGGCCCGGAAGTACAGGTTGTGCAGGTGCTCGGTGAGGTCCTTCCTCCAGTTCACATACAGCAGGTTGCAGGTGAACTGGTCAAAGCTCTTCAGCTGTGCACAGGGTGGGGGTGGGGGGAAAAGGGGGAAGGCAGGGGAGGAAAAGATGGCTTCCTGCGATTCTAGGTTCAAAGCTCAGAGCTGGCAGGAGCTTCTGCTGATGAGGCAGAAGCCGCTCGGCTCACTTCGGGGATAGTTCCCTTCTAAGGTTTCAAATCACGAGATCTCCCTTCCCCATTCGCTCACGTGCCCGCTCCTTCAACAAATCCCAACACGCTTCCCAAAGGCAAGCCCCGTAACCCCCTTTCTGCAGTCTATGTCTCAATTGAGAGCAGAGCTGCAACTGGAGACAGGGAACCACACGTCTGCTCCATGTATGATCTACTCCTCTGCCCCCAAGCATGGAAGAGGCCTCCACATATCTGAGGTCTTACTGACTGAAAGCACACCCAAGTGGCCACCTAAGGGCGAGAAAGGGCAGCCCCAGACACTGCTGCTAGTCCAGCCTGATGGAAGCTGGGTCTTGGGAGAGCCTTGCTCCGTCACCTGCCATCCCTGAAGAGCCTCACGCTGAGCCCTCGGGAAATGACAAGGAGTTCACAAGCCAGTAAGGAGTGTGGCAGCAGCTGCCAACTGAGAGAGCACGCACACGCAGAGACGGGGTCGAATTGGATTGAGGAAACAAAAAGAAAGTTGAGGAAGACTTGAAAGAAGTGCCAATAAAGGTATCTTGATAAACAAGTAGGGTGTCGCTAACTCACGTAGCGGAAGGACAAGAAAGAGGCAGGCGAGAAGGCTGGAGGTGTGACACCACTCGGGCTGAGCCACAGCCTCAGCTGCCAGAGAAGCAGCAGCTCCGTGGCTGCAGATGCGGGTTTTTAAAGTGTGCTGAGTTCCCTGAAATGAGAGTTCTGGGATGGGACGGGACACTGACTATTTCTCCTGAGTATTAAACCAGAAAGTCCATCCCAAGTAGGTCAATAGCAAGATCAAGGCCCTGCCTCAGGTTCTGTCCTTCAGGGAAACTGTTAATTCCCAGAAAGCGGCAGAAACACACCCGGAGCTTGGTTCCTGCTTCCTGAACACTAGGTGCCACCAGGCATTTCCCCTAGACAGGAGAAGGGGACACAGGGCTAAGGGCAGTCCTTACGGTGGAATTGAGAACAATGAGCGCCACGGCCAGGAAGGTCAGGGCCTTAAATCCATCCAGGTCTTTGTTTCCCAGGACTCCATAATACTGACTGGGGATCAAGCCAACTTGGTAGATCACCAATTGCTCTGTGGGGAGGGAGAGAAGCTGGAAATCAGAGGGGGAAAGAAAGACACTTCCTCCTGCCAGAGCCAAGGAAAGAACTCCTAAACCCAGGCTCTGTCCCATCCCCCACAGCCCACTCACTCACCCAGGAGGGTCACACACAAGAGCGTCATGAACATTAAGACATTCTGTGATGACCAAGAAGGAAAGAAAACCTTCTGTATCCTCAGGAACCGCTGGACAAGTTGCAGATCTATCCTGGGCCTGCAGATGTCAGTCATGGAGAGAAGACTCAGGATAGAGCCTTATAGGAGGTACCCAGCTTAGCCTCATTCTGTACAGTGGGTCCAGCCTTTGCACAGAGAATGGGTACAAATGCTGGAGAGGGTGGGCTAGAGAGCATCAGAGCAAAAAGTGACACTGCTAACCTAACACAAGCAAATGTTAAAAAAAAAAGTATTTTAGCATTTTAGTGGTGATACCTTAATAATGATACAGTGGGAAGACATTTCTCAGAAAAGACCCCAAACCTACAAACTCTCCAGGGTAAAACTGATGGGCTTAATTTACACTGAAGTATTTTTATTCAACACAGTACCACAGATTTTGATTAAACGAGAAAAGGCATTTACAGAATGAAATTAGTAAGGAATGACAATCTGGAGCATGCAAGGAATTTCTGCAAGTCAGCTACTTCCTAGGAAAGTGGGGAAAGGAGATAAACAGTCTGTGAAAGGGGCACTCTCGACACGCCTAGTACGTGTATTAAGTCAGCACAGTGTGGCTGACAAGATGTCTCAGCTGGTAAAGTGTTTGTCTTGAAGAACTGAATTTCATCTCCAGGTCCCAGTGTGGAAAGAATCAACTCCTTAAAGTTGTTACCTGACTCCATACATGTGTCATGGCACACACACACACACACACACACACACAAAATAAAGTTAGCACACTAGAACACTATCTTACACACATCAAATTGATACATATTGGCAGGAGGACCTAAACAATACCAAATATTGGGGATGGAAATAAGGGAAACCAGAACCTTTAAATACTGCTTGCTGTCAGGAAGGATAAACTGGTTGTAACCACCAACCAAACTCTTGTAACCAAAGAGCAACCTTGTAGAACTAAGTACAGTTCAGCATCTTATCTCCGGAATGGACAGCCCATATCAAAATCAGTGACATCTCCCAAGAAATGACTGCAGGAATACCCATCATAGTATAGTTCACGGAGGTTGGTATTGGAAGGAATCTCGGTGCCCATTGCTAGGGAAATGAGAGGAATAGTCTAATAAGGGTGATACCAGGCCACATTCAGGAGTGAAAACTCATACAGCATGGATGACCTCAAAACCCAAAGCTCGGTTTTAAGTTTTTGATGGTTTTTTTCTTTTTTCTTTCTTTCTTTCTTTCTTCCTTTCTTTCTTTCTTTCTTTCTGTCTTTCTTTTTCTGTTTTAAAAATCACAACATATAAACTGGACAGTAGTAGAGCACGCCTTTAATCACAGCATTCGGGAGGCAAAGGCAGGAGGATGTATGTGAGTTAGGGGCCAGCCTGGTCTAAAGATCAAGTTCCAGGACAGCTAGTGCTACACAGAGAAGCCCAGTCTTGAAAAACAAAACAAACAAGCAAAAAAACAAAACCAAAAACACATCACACACACAAAAAAACCCACAACGTATTGTTTACATGAACTCAAAATCTATCTACTTTTTTTTTTAAGATAAGATGACAATTTAAGTGAGGGAGTCTGAAAAAAATAATACACGGCGTGGGGGGGGGGGGGGGGGGGTGTCCGAGGAGCGGACTGGGACTGAGAATGCGAACCAAGGGAGAAATCTACCAATAGAGGGGTGTCCGCGGTACCAAGAATGAAGCAGAGTCAGCTCCACTCTGTGAAGCCGGGGTTCCAAAGAGCGCGAAGAACTGAAAGAAGAGTTGCGAGAAAAGAGCCGGCGGGGACAGCAACCCCTTCCCCACTGCCCAGACAGGGCGTCCTCGTCAACCGGCTGTCCTCACTAGCCCTGCTCACCTGGCGCCAGCTCGGGCTGCGGGCCCTGGGACCGCCATCACCCGGGATGCGACCGACGAGCCAGCCGAGCCAGCCCCCAGCCCACCCCGGGCAGAGTTCGCAGAGCTCGGGGCCCCGCCCCGGGAGGAAAGGGGAGGGGCGCCAGCGACCACAGAGACGCGGAGGATAGAGAGGACGCTCGGCGCCGCGGCCGCTCCCGGAAGCACAGGCTTTCCGGAAAAAGCAAGAGAATAGCTAGAGTTTATGGAGCTGGCCGGGCGGCTAGAGCGTCCCCTCTGGGTTTGGGAGGTTTCTTTTGACAGCTGGTAGTTCTGAATGTAAACATATCCCAGATAAGCCAGCGTGGTCTTAAAAGAAATATATATGTGAATATGTATATGTATATATACACACATATATAGATTGTATATGTGTGTGCATATGTGTGTACTCACACGAGCCATGAGCCATGGCTCAAGTGTGGAAGTCAGAACAACTACAAAGAGTCAGTTTTCTCCTTCCATCCTGAGGGTTCTTAGGAACAAATTCAAGTTGTCAGGACTGGCGGCAAAAGCCTTCGCCAGGTGAGTCCGCTCGTTGGTCCAGAACGATTTACATGTTTTTTTTTTTAAAGATATATTATTTTATGTATATGGATGTTTGCCTGCATATATGTCTGAGTTCCATGTGCGTGCCTGGTACTTGCAGAGGCCAGAAGAGGGCATCAGAGTGTGTCTGAGCCTCTAAAAGAGCAGCCAGTGCTTACAACCTCTGAGCCGTCTCTCCAGGACGTTCCTTCTCTCCCGAAAGTGAACTCTTTTTTTTTTTTTTTTTTTTTTTTTTTGGTGGGGGCGTGGAGCAAGGGTCAAGTCAGGGTTTCTCTGTGTGTAGCCCTAGCTGTCCTGGAACTCACTCTGTAGACCAGACTGGCCTCAAACTCACAGAGATTCATCTGCCTCAAACTCGCAGAGATTCACCTGCCTCTGTTCACCCCCCCTCCCCCCCGCCGCCCCCGCCCAGTGCTGGGATTAAAGGCATGCACCACCACCGTCTGGCCCGAAAGTGAACTTTTAAGTCAGGAAGATGTAGCACAGTGGTAAAGGGCTTGCCTGAAATACATAAGGCCCTCGGTTCAGTTCCCAGCACTACAAAAATAAACATATAAGCCTGTTTTCCAGCCAAATGTGGCAGCGCAAGCCTGTAATTCTAGAACGGAGGCGGTATAAGCAGGAAGATCAGGAATTCAAGATAGGCCTCAGTTATACAGAAAGTGCAGAGTTCATGACTAGCCTGGACGGCAGGAGACCTGCCTCAAGAAAAACATTGGAAAGGAAGGTGATTGCTGTGGGGGTTTTGTTTATTTGTTTGGATGGTTTGGGTTTTGTTGTCGTTCTTTCAGTTTTTTTGTTTTGTTTTGTTTTGTTTTGTTTTCCCAAAACAGGGTTTCTCTGTGCAGCCCTGGCTGTCCTGGAACTTGAACGTCCAGGCTGGCCTCAAACTGTCTCCTGAGTGTTGGGGTTGGGGCAGGGGTGCCACCACTGCCTGGCTCATGTAGTGCTAAAAGATGAATGGATGGAATTCGTTATCAACTGACCGACTAAAGTGCCCAAAGAGAGATTCAAGAAAACAATAAAATCATCTCCCAGAGCCCCAAATTTGAATCTAGATGTGTCTCCTTACTGTTCCTCAATCCTTATGGTTGTTATGCCCAGATCATGGAGTCCCCCCCCACCCCAAAACCAACTAGGAGACCGAGTCCTGCATGTAAAAGCAAAGAACTTTATTCGTACACAAGTTTGCAAACTTGGACTTCGTGTACCCTACGTATCGGAGTGATCAATCAGAGAGCCCCAATCTGTTGGAGTTGGGTTTTTATAGTAGCGAAAGTAGGGGTGAGGGATTTCTAAGGTTCAGGGCTCCTGGTTGGCTGACATTTGTCTAGGGGTGTCCTGGTGAAGAGCGATGGGTGTGTACTGGCAGGCGCAGGGCAGCCTGGCCACACATGAGGCCCAGGCCGCACAGTTTCCATAGCGGGCAGCACCGGGTTCCAGGAAAAGCCATAGCTCTCACCGCCCAGGAGCAGATCATCAAAAGGAAATTCCTAACATTCCAACCGCTGTGGATAGGCTCACCTGCCAGCACACATAAATTAAAAAAAAAAAAAATTCTCAGGGGCTGGAGAGATAGATGGCTCGGCGGTTATGAGCAATTGCTACTCTTGCAGCGGACCCAGGTTTGGGTCCCAGCACTCATGTCGGGGGCTCCCAACTTCATGTAACTTCAGTTCTAGGGAGCCTGATGCCCTCTTCCAGCCTCTGCAGGCAGTTGCATACACGTGGTACACATATCTACACTTAGGTACACAAATTTTGAATGATGACTCTTTAATATTTTTTCTCTACTTTCATAAATGCATTTGTCCTTAAGCCCACACAAACAATAAAAATGAAATGATATACAGATAAGATCATGTTAGGAAAAACAGCAAGCTGTCAAAGGTCAGGTGCACGGTCCACGGTCCACTCTCCATAGTCCACGCACTGAGATCGTTCTTAGTCCCTGTGACATTTTGTTTTGTTTTGTTTTTGGAGATAGGGTTTCTCTGTGTAGCCCTGGCTGTTTTGGAACTCGATCTGTAGACCAGGCTGGGCTCTAACTCACAGAGATCCTCCTGCCTTTGCCTCCCAAGTGCTGGGATTAAAAATCTATATTACTTCAAGAAGTCCATGACCTCAGGTAAATCTGCTCCAAAGAAGCATGTGTGAGGCTTTAGATCCAATTCCAGTACCACAGAGCAGAGAAAAGAGAGGGGGAGCAAGGCCAACCAGCTATTAAATCCTGTTGGAAAGGTTCCAGATGAAGACTGAGCTGTCCTCTGACATTGCCTGGAGGAGCTTATCAGTGTCCATAGAGGCTGAACGAGGCTACAGACAGTTAAGAATTGTGCCATAAAAAAAGGAACAGATAAAGTGCCAGTAGCTAAGGGGAGAATACAGAGTTGGATATTACACATGTGTATACCACAGGGAAGAGACTCTGGAAGGGAAATATGTGGTTGTCACTCTCCTTTGTCACTTTCTAAGCCATGGGAGCGATGTTGGGCTTTCTTTCTTTCTTTCTTTCTTTCTTTCTTTCTTTCTTTCTTTCTTTCTTTTTTATTTCTTTTCTTTTTCCTCTTTGAGACAGGGTCTCTTTATGTAGCCCGGGCTGTCCTGGAACTCACTTTATAAACCAGGCTGACCTCAAACTAACAGATCCACCTCCCGAGTACTGGGATTAATGGCATGTGCCACCACTGCCTCTTTAATTTGAGTCACTCACTTTAATCTGTAAACCCAATCTGTAAAGCTGGTTATTTGGCTACCCCCATTTCACATGGAGGAACCGGTTCCATGACCTCAATCACTGGCTCCTAGGTGAGGGAGGGGCTGGGAATATAACCATGACTTCTGGCTTTGGAGCCCATCACACTCTTACTTCCGTTTTCACCTGGACTATCTCTTATTCCAAATCTTAACTCCTGGCTGATATTTATGTCTGTTACCATTTATTTCCCCCATTGATAGGAAAACAAAAGAACTGGTCTTTCAAGATTCAGCGGAAAGCCAGGTGTGATGATGCATGCCTTTCAGGAGGCAGAGGCAAGAGGATTTCTGTGAGTTTGAGACCAGAATGGTCTACTTAAGTGAGTTCCAGACAACCAGGACTGCGTAATAGTGAGATTCTGTCTCAATACAAACAAGCAAAACCAATAACAAAATCAAAACACCGTAGAAGGGACTTGAGTATGCACAAATATTACATGCACAGTTGGTATTCTGGGGAAAAGAGGACCCTGGAATCAGTCCCTGGCAGATACCAAGGGACAAGTATGTGTGACAATATAACAAGCTGGAAATAATCAATATTGAGAGTGTAATAGCCAGGCATCAGTATCTGGGAGGCTGAGCAGGCAAAAAGTCTTCTCGTTGTGGTATACACATTTGTAATACCCAGCATTTGAGAAGTAAAGGCAAAAAGAGTTCAAGGCAAGCTCCAGCCTCTTACTGAGTTTGAGGCCACTCTGGGCATTCTATAAGACCCTGTGTTTAAAAAAAAAGAAAGAAAACAGGAGGTGGGGTGCTGGGGTTGAAGCTCAGTGGTAGAGAGCTAGATTAGCAAGTGTGAGGTCCTAGAGTCTATTTCTAGTATTGTAAGGGGGAAAGGTACAAATTCCTGAGTGTTGTGTGTGCTGACAAAGTGTATGCTGTGGAACGTGTGCTGTGAACCATGTTCTGGTGGAGCATGTGCTGTGGAGCATGAGCCGTGGATTGTGTGCTGTGAACCATGAGCGGTGGAGCATGTGCGATGGAGCATGCGCTGTGGAGCATGTGCCGTGGAGCATGTGCTGTGGAACATGGGACGGATCTCCAGTCGTGTAAAGAAGAGGGAACAACAAACACGCCAGGGAAGTGAAAAGCCTTAAGTTTATTTCCCCACAGTTTTCAGTATATCTGAGGTGGGGTTTTGTATTAGTGCAAATAGGTTCCCTGTTTTGCAAAGAATTGCATATTTTCAGCACTTGGGAAGCTGCAGCAGGAAAATCATGACAATTTAGAGTCCAGTCTGGGCTACACAGTGAGTTCCTGGCAGGTAGGACCACATAGTTAGATCCTTTCTCAAAAACCAAACACGTGTGGCAGGGGAGATGGCTCTGCAAGTGAAGCTGACAAGCCTGGCAGCCTGAGATTGATTTATGACACCCATTTACAACTCTGCAAGTGGCCCTCTGACCTTCACATCTGCATAATGGCATGTTCACGTCCACACACATCACGCGGATACACGCACACATACGTACATACATACATAATGTAATTTTAAAATTAAATATTAAAAACCAAACAATCTCATGCAAGAACTCCACAACTCTAATACTGGGAAATCAGGGAACTGGAGATTCGGAATCCCCTCGTATTCCATCACTGACCAGTTGGGTCAGGTTCCCAAGAAAATGTACACAATCCTTGAGACACGCTACCCTAAACATTATATGAATTGCTTATGTTCAGTTTAAAGTGCAGCGGGCATCCTGCATCTGTCTAGCTCTGGGAACCTTCCAGCTGGGTCATCTAGGCTGCACAGCTCCTTTGAACTTCTTATCTACAAAGT